GGGGGGGGGGGGGGGATTATAATGGATAAGATAATGGATGGATGGATTATTACAAGCACCCTGCAGATGTTGGATAATGCCTATCACGGTGCACTAAGATTCATAACTGTTTGTAACTACCATACCCACCACTGCACCCAGTATTCACTGGTTAACTGGTCATCTCTAATTTCACACAGACTCTCTCACTGGTACATTTTCATCTTTAAATCACTTCTCGGTCTGCTGCCTTCAGACATCTCCTACATGTCACGTGAGTGCAGCTACACGTGCGCTCTCAGGACATTATTACCTGCAGTGTTCCCTCAGTGAGGACTGAACTAGGCAAAAGGGCTTTCTCCTACTCTGCTCATGTTTCCTGGAATATCTTGCAAAAAGATCTGAGCTCTCGACCTTGACGTCTCTAAGTGGCTTTAAACATCTGCTAAGTTCCTGGGAAAAACCAATGCAGAACCTGTTTTTAGTTTTGTACACCACCTTACAACCTAGCTGTTTTTTTGCTACTTTTCCTTTTAATTATCCTTTTATTTTTGGATGTGACGTCCACAAAGAGCATACGGATTTAGAAGTCCTTCTACTCCAGGTGAGTGAGAGCAGTGTAGACCACAGAGGAGATGTCATTCTCTGTTGATTGATTCTTGTGGTATGCGTACTGGTGAGGGTCCTCCCTGATGTTGATGGTAGCTTTGATGTGGGCCACAACCTGTCTTTCAAAGCATTTAGCATCTGTCGGGGTTAGGGCTAGTGGCCAATAGTCATTCAGACTGGTAACTGCATAGCTCTTAGGAACTGGGATGATGGTGATGGTCTTCAGGCAGCTGGAAACAGTTGCAATGGTGAGTGAGGAGTTAAAGATATTGGCGAGCACCTCATAGAGCTGATCGACACAGTCTCTGCACCCTCTCTGGGATGTTTTCTGTGCCAGTTGCTTTGTGAGGATTAATCCTCCTAAAGGTCTTCCTTACCTCTTCTGAGGTCACACTGAGGAAGTCCTCTTCTGGTGGTGAGGTGAGTCTGGTGTTGGGTGGTCTATTTGGGTTGTCAAAGCGAGTATAAAACTTGCTAAGAGCATTGATAGGTCCCTACTAGGACATTTTGCACCCTTGCTTTTATAATCTGTAATGCACTTAATGCCCCGTGGCTCCGTGGATCTTGTGAGGAGAAATGTCCCTGGCTCTTCTATGCATATGTGGCTTTGGCTCTATTAATACCAGCAGTCAGCTCTTTCCTTGACCTCCCCAGTTCCTGTGGGTCACTAGACCTGAAGACCAGACCCTATTTAATTTATCTCTGGGATTAATAAAGTATTTTTAATTTATAAATATATATTTATTTATATTTTTGAAGACAATATCCCTGGCTTTCAGCAGGGCATGGACCTCTGCGCTCAGCCAGGGTTTCTGGTTCTGGTAGCACTTCACAGTCCTATTGGTGGTGAAATCTTCGGAACACTTGCTGATGTATCTGAGGACAGCAGATGTGTATTCCTCCAGATCCAGATTTCCTTCATTTACAACGACCTCCCTGAAGATCTGGCATTTGTATGTGAAAACAGTCCTGCAGTACAATGTTGCTGTTGCTGGGCCATACAAAATTGGTTTTCGGTGTTGGTCTGGACTGTCTCAGTGGTGGGAGGTAGACAGGGGCCATGAAGATAGAGATGTGGTCTGAGAGCCCAAGCTGGTGGTGGGGTACAGCTTTATATGTATCTTGTATGTTGGTCTAGTATGTTATTTCCTCGCGTTGGTATGGTCACATGCTGATAAAATCTTGGCAGAGTTTCTTTCAGGTTTATATTATTAAAATCACTGTCCACCGCATAAAAACTCCGGATGCTTGTTTTGAAGTGAGCTGATGTTATCAATTAGCTCCCGCAGGGCTTCTTTAGCATTAGCATCCAGGGCTATGTAGACAACAATGATAAGCACCGCCATAATCTCACAAGGTAAATAATGTGGCCGACATTTCACAGTCAGTTGTTCTAAAGCGTCGGAGTAGGAACTGTTTATCAGAACACAGTTTGTGGACCAACCTTTGTTTACATAAACACATACTCCGCCAACATGTGTCTTCCCCGTTAGGTCACTGCAGTGGTCTCCCTGAAAAAAAAAAAGTTATCCAGCTTGAAGGCCAAGTCTGGCATGTTTCTATTAAGCCATGTCTCTGTGAGACAGAGTACATACAGCACAGTTTTTCATCTCCTCTAAGGCACTCACTCTCAGTCGCAGCAGATCCAGCTTGTTTTCAAAGGAGCGGACATTGGACAGGAAGAGAGATGGAATCGGCGGTCTGCTAACATTAGCCTTCAGTCTTGCTAACACACCAGCCAATCTGCCCCTCTTCTTTCCCTGGGCACAGCACTTTCTCCTGTCTTAGAACGCAGTTGCCTCCACGCTGATGTCTGTGGACGCTGCATTCTGTCGAGCTTAGTTTTCAGATCGTTGTTGATCGCTACTGTTGCCAGAGCCAAACGTTCTCTTTTGCTCATAAGTTCGGTTCGGCTATAATTCACATGCTTAAAACGAGCGGAGTCGGGCTCGGAGCCAATTTCAAAACTAAGAAAGCTGAGTTTCCACCGGGATCCAGAGAATCTGTGGCCCAGCTGAGCACGGCCATCTTGGCTCAGACCTCAGTCCTCAGTATTCAGTGAGACTAACCTGTATAAATAAAGGTTGACTGAATGAAAAAAGTTAACTGACTAACAAATGATGCTTTTGTTTTAAATAAATATCTCTTAGTGCTGGAAATATGTCCAGGATAACTCTAAGCTACTATCACACCAAGTTTTAGCTCAATATTTGTGGAGATTTTTTTGTTTGGTAAATTGAATTGGATTAGCTCTAAAGTATAATCAGTTGTAGATGAAATGATTACTTTCATTAAAATCCATCCATGATTTTATGAGGTATTTTGCTAACAGACACGAACAAAGGTGTAAACATTATCACCCACTATCAAAAGGTAGAAGGTGTGTGATAAAAACCACACACACACACGCACGCACGCACGCACACACACACGCACACACACACACACACACACAACAAAGAATCCGACAGAGAACAATAGAAAACCAGGGAATATTTAGACAGATAATACCAACTGACACCTGGCAGGTGGTCTGATACGTAAATTGGGAGTAGCTGTAAGGAGAGATTAAAATGTAAAATTAACCGACACAAACTGGGACACAGACTAAGGAAATGCAGTTACACAAAATATGAAACAAGAGCAACAACAAAACCTAGGATGATCTAAACAGAAATTAAAGTATAAAACCCAGAAATACCAACACCAAAATGAGTTGTAACGCAATTTCAAAGTTCAATTGAAATGCCTTCAAACCATTTGTCCAATCAAAATTCAGTGTATTTAATGAAATAATGGACACATTGAATTGCATCTTAATCTTACTAATACTTTAAATTATTTGTGTTAAATGTGAAAGCATTTTATGAATCCTAAAGCTCAAACTGAACTTCTGGTTGTTTACTCTGTTATACGTTCACATTTTTAGTTTTCTCGTTTGACACTTTTGAGCCGCAGCTGACCTTTGGCACGTCTTCCATCTTTGCTTGCAGATTTACGAAGAATGACGGCTGGTTTTGTGGGCATGGCCGTGTCCATCATTCTCTTTGGCTGGATCATCGGAGTGCTGGGATGCTGCCAGCAGCATGACCTCATGCAATATGTAGCTGGGCTACTCTTTCTCATGGGAGGTACCATGAACGCACACATGCACACGCCCTCACATGCAGACGAGACCTAGATTTGTTCAATGACTGTGTATTTGGTGACAGCTGAGAGCACATTTAGACTGAACATGATAGCCAATCAATATCTTGCAGTAACGTGACGCTGGTGTTGCAGTGAGGTGTTCAGTCCATGCAGGAGTTTAATGATCGATCCTTTTAAAGCTCTGCTGCTCTCTCCTCTCACACAGGAACATGTTGCATCATCTCCCTGTGCACGTGCGTGGCAGGGATCAACTTTGAGTTGTCCCGCTTCCCACGCTCCATGTACGGCCTCCCCGAAGACATTAGCCATGGCTATGGCTGGTCCATGTTTTGTGCCTGGGGTGGCCTCGGCCTCACGTTGCTGGCCGGCTTCCTCTGCACCTTGGCTCCCTCCCTGAGCACGCCTGCGCGCACGACAACCCACAAACCAAGGCAGGAGAACGGAACTGTGTGACGAAAGGAAGGTCCGGTTGCACAAGAGCTCGCCACCCCCCACCCCACCTTCCAACTTTGGTGTTTGACTCTGAAACAGTTTGTCACGTCACCGTCAACATGGCCAACCTCAGTGCGTGCGCTGAGTTGTGACAGAAGCAGAACGATAAACTTCACACGTCAAATGTTGAAATCTCTTGATGGACCTCCAGAAACAGGAAGAGGAACTTGTACAGCAGCAAATGACTGATGATCAAAGAGAACATGTTTTTGTCCATGTAAAGGTGACTGTCTTCTCCGAAGACGATCTGTCTTAAACTGGTGCTCCTTGAAACCCATGAAGCCACACACTCCTGCAAAGGAAAAACACACATATCAACTTTTTTCCACACATACTAAATGTTTCTGGAGAAATCTTGAGAACACAAAGAAACACACAAAAACTAGTTTAGAGCATCCTGTCGGGATTCCTCTGTCTTTTGATTATTTGTGTGTAACTGTTTGTACTTTAGAGGGAAAATGTGCTGCAGCGACGTTTCGTTGCTTCTATGTAGTAAAACACCACGTGATGTAAAGAAGACTCTGAGGAACGCCTGCAGTCCGGTCTGACTGATTAAAAATAATACACACAAGTGAGTTTGCCTTAAAAAGCAAATCTTTAATAAGTTATCAAATGCAACACGTAGAGCTAGATGTTTAAGTGACGTCGATTTGAAAAATCATTTTTTATCTGTCTTCTTGGAGGAAATAGCAGCTGACAGAAGAGAAGATGAGTTAAAACTGATAAAACAATAAAGAAGAAAACTTTTATAATTATATGGACGCATTGCAAAGTCATGAAGACTGATCATAAAAATACATAAAGTAAGGAACAAAACCACACAATATTTTCACATATTGGTTGAAGATTTTCTTAGATTTAACCTTTGTTAGTAAAATATGTGATGTCATCTTGACACGTTTCTTCTTTCTTTATCTGACTGGGGCCACGGTAGCTTGGTGGCCAGTGTTGCAATCTTGTAATTTTGAGGCTGCAGGTTCGAGCCCAGGTTACATCTGGAAGTGTCTCTGGTATATACGTTTAAAAAAAGCTCAATCTTTCAAGTGTTCACGTTCTCTGGTGAGCCGTGCAGACCGGAGCAGCCGAACACAAACAATGAGAGATTCTTCTCTTGTCTCATGGTCACTTGTTTACCGACACAGACCAGCCATCAGCCAAGTGCTTCGTTTACATTGACTGCGTACCTGCGTTTCAGAACCGCTTATAAAACTACAGGAGTAAAACCGCACCATTTCACATAGTTCAGGATAATGTTGTGTTTGATTTCATACTTTACGAGTTCCTTAAAACAGAGTAAAAGAGTAACAGAAAGAGCAAAGTGTTTTGTGTCAGTTAAATGTAAATCTGGCAGTGACTGGTTAAAACAAGTATTCTGTTTGTTTCACTTCAGTGTTACGTCGTTAAGCAGGTTCAGAAAAATCATGAAAAGCAACGTCAGACATCTGAAAGCCAAATATCTTCATACCTCATCAAAAAAACTAATAAAGCAAATATGTAGAAAATGAACAATGATCTTTATGAAAGGACCATTTTGTTGGAAGATTGAATCATTTTAAATGTGGTTTCCATGAGAAAGTGTTAGAAACATCAGTCATTAAATAATTAAACAAAATTACCGTATGATTAATAGTTTGATCCGTCATGTTTTTATTTTTGATCTGTGTTTTTTTAACCAAAAGACGTGCAAATTTTATATCCATCCATCCATCCATCCATCCATCCATCCATCCATCCAGCCATCCATCCATCCATCCATCCATCCATCCAT